TATATATATATATATATATATATATATATATATATATATATATATATATATATATATATATATATATATATATATATATATATATATATATATATATATATATAATATAAAAATATATAGGGAGGTACCACCTCTATAGCTGGACTGGGGACCCTCATCCTCAAAGACAATAAACGTACCTCAGGGAAAACTCAAGGTTCTCCCGGGGATAATATATATATATATAAAATATATATATATATATATATATATATATATATATATATATATATATATATATAATATATATATATATATATATATATATATATATATAATATATATATATATATATATATATATATATATAATATATATATATATATATATATATATGTATATATATATGCAAGACAAGCCACGGGGGAGGGACTCTTTAGCTCAAGTACTTTCGCGCTTCTCAGCACATCATCAGGAGCTTTGCAATGTTGCAAGGCAACAACTGAAGGAGTAAGGGGAAGTTTTCTCAGAGTAGCGCAGTACGGGTTTGTTACCTGCAGCAGCTCTTTCAGATTGTGAACCAATGACTTGGTGCCACCCCGCACCACCACCATCCCCATCTCCTCCATATGGGGTGGAAGGGTTTTGAGATGTCAAGGAATATGAGATTAGAAGATTTAATAACCAGCCCCAAGCTTTTTATAGCCGCTTAGAATAGGTCATGTGACTTGAGGAAATATGTTTCTCGGTGGATACTGTACATATGGATTGCTATTGTTCTGAGCAACCTTGTTAATTAATAAAAGAAACGAAATGATTGTGCCCTTTTGTCCGTTTAAATGTCCTTGTCTGGACTACTCGAATGTTCCTAGGGATACTCAGAAATATTTCTTCATATTCTCCTAGATATTGTCTACCAGTCTTCTCAGTATCGATTAATATGCCTTACTTGGGAATCTTCTGTACCGTTCCGATAATATTTCTATGATCCAAATTTCTACTTCTAATATCATTTAACCCCACTACCTATGTTATCACGTAATCTTGTGTACCTGACAATGTATGGTACAGTAATAGCTGTGTTACATAACCATTCACAACTGACGTAGCATGATGTTTTGGTGCATAGACACTGGTCGAACATCGCCAATCCATCATGAAACCACCTGGCATAATAAGCATTGTTGTTTAAAATTGTGTACAATAGGCTCTACTAAATAGCTATCAAGCTTGTATTATCCATAATTTGAGTTATATACGGTATTACTGTCATGTTTTAAGAGAGAAGATTCAATTTTGTCTCTTTCTATGGCAGAACTGTTGGGGACAATAATCTGGGAAGCAGCCCATCCCAGTGGGTGATTACAGCAACTAACGTGGTTAAAAATAATGTTCGACTCCTATCCTGTCCTGACTGAGTATTTATGATGGGCTATTCTAGTTTCCAGAAGTTTACCTGTTTGACCAATATATGAGAGAGGACACTGAGTACATGGGACCTTGTAAACCCCACCAACTTTGCTGGAGGGTGTGTTTTTAATCAACCTTTGTTTCACAGACCCAGTGTTTTTGAAAGCAAGGTTTATATTGATCTTTTTTAATGCATCACACAGGCAAACTAGGTTCTCATTGTATGGTAAAAGTAGTACATTTTTGTCTGGCAGTCACCTCCTTAGGTTCAGTCCTGTAGAAAGTCTTTCTTGCTGACATTAGCGCCTTCTCGACAAAATCTCTAGGATATCTCAGTTTTGTGGCTATTTGAATTTCTTGCTGTTTCGTCCTCTATGTACTCTGGACCACAGATGAACAAGGTTCTCAAGAACATTGTGTGGAACACACTCCTTTTTTCCCTGGTTTCGTGATTGGAATAGTAGTGAATATATGACGACACATTGGTGGACTTCCTGTAGAAAGTAAATTTGAATTTTCTATCAACATGATGGAGTAAAACATCTAGGAACGGCAAAGTGTTGTTTATTTCATGTTCTATAGTGAACTTAATGGAAATTACTAGACCACTGAGTCTAGGAAGGAACCCATCAGTGTTGTGATCTCTAGGGCATAGGTAAACAACATCATCTACCTACCTGAACCAACTAGCTTTATCTGGGAAAATGTCTATAAGAAGTCTAGTTCAGTTGTTGCCTATCAACATTGCATAGCTCCTGATGATGCACTGAGAAGTGTGAAAGTACTTGAGCTAAAGATTCCCCCGCCCACGTGGCTTGTCTTGCATATATATATATATATATATATATATATATATATATATATATATATATATATATATATATATATATATATATATATATATATATATATATATATATATATATATATATATATATATATATATATATATATATATATATGCAATAAGATCACAGTAAACAGGTGATTTCAGAATATGCAAAACAACGACTCTGAAAGAATAGAGAAATTGAATCTTGTTTCATAAAAAGCAGTTTTGACAATAATATGAATATTTCCTTTGGTTTATATAAATTAGATCCATTTATAATTAATAGAATTTGGGAAGAATTTAATAATACACTGGACAAATAATTTTTAAATTTTCTTGGGTAGAATAGTTTGTGGGGTGAGTTGTGCAAAGGACCTATCCAAGTTGGGTCGGCGCGCGTCTGGTGTCTAACCGTTGTGGGATCTGATAGTGAGGTGCTGGCCAGACCCCTTATATAGCTTCCTTGGATGCTTTACTTTCATAGTTCCTTGATAATGTGAGTAGTCACGAAAACGCTTGGAATTTCTCTCTTCTTTCAGAGTGGTTGTTTTGCATATATATATATATATATATATATATATATATATATATATATATATATATATATATATATATATATATATATATATATATATATATATATATATATATATATATATATATATATATATATATATATATATATATATATATATATATATGCCGAATAGGCAGAACTTGCGATCTTGGCTTAAATAGCAACGTTAATCTTGCCATATAGGACAAGTGAAAATTTGTGTATGCAATAATTTCGCCAAAATCATTCTGAACCTAACGAAAAAAACATATTTCACTGTGTTTGTTTGGTATTAAATTACTGTAAACAGATCTAAAATAAATTTAGTTGGGTTAGGCTAAAATAAATTGCTCTTGTTATAATAAGGTTAGGTAAGTTTTCTAAGATTATTTTGGTGCAAAATTAAAAATTCTTACATTAACATTAATGAAAAAAATATGTCTTTAAACGTATAAAAAAAATTTCTGAAAAGACTTAATTTTAAATGAGTTCTTACTAATTGACCAGTTTTATATATTCGGCACGACATATATATATATATATATATATATATATATATATATATATATATATATATATATATATATATATATATATATATATATATATATATATATATATATATATATATATATATATATATATATATATATAAACACAATGCTTCAGGAAAGGACAAAGCTCGTCTCCGATGGTGAAGTCACGACATTCAGGAGATTTCCTTCTAGCTGTTCCCAATTCCCCTCTGGGCTCTCTACTCGACCCACAGGCCATTCGGATTGGTGTTGCTCTTCACCTAGCCGCCCCCATACTCACCAAACATAACTTATTTGCGGCAGGGCGACGGCTGATCAATTCAGACTTCATGGTCTCGTGTGTCACACAGCAGAAGGGAAGTATGCTAGACATGAGGAGGTCAACGATATTATAAAATGAAGCCTCGCCACAGCCCGTTGCCCAGCTCAACGGGAACCCCAAGTACAGAGGTCTGACGGAAGTCAAAAGTGTCCTGATGGAGTCACTATGCTACCTTGGAAGGATGGTAAGCAGATTGACTGGGACTACACCTGTGCTGCCACACTGGCAGACACCTACTTGCCATACTCCGTAACAGAAAGGGGTGGAGCTACCAGCCACAGGGAGATCCAGAAGACCTGCGAGGTGATATATATATTCAAGTGATATTTATATTCATTATTAGTTCTATATAAGAGACATTTATAATGATAAAATAAAAATATTTAACATTTAAAAATCATTAAAACTCTTCAAAGTAAAAAAAAAAAAGTCAATACATATAAACAAAATATGAAATTACCATAATAAAAAAAGAATTTGAAGGAGTTCTGGCGTGTGCTAACTCCCTGATATGTTAGGTAAAAATGGCTTCTGCTAGCAAGTGGTCCAGCCTGAAGGATAACTGGCCAAGAGCTTCAACACAAGTGCTGCTCATTGAGTGGTCTGACTCTTGCTCTTGTGTGACAGCATTTTTCCCGTTATAAATAATTTGCAAGTATTCAGCGGCTCGAGTCCTGAGTCTTGTCGCCTTCACAGTGTATTAAGATTTAAATCTAATACACTGTTAAATTAGACACATGTGCAACTCTTGGGTATCATTATTGAGGAAACGTTTCGCCACACAGTGGCTTCATCAGTCCATACAAAGGATAAACTTGAAGAACAGGAGGAGAATGAGGTAATCAATCCCTCAGCCTTGAGTCGATGTGGTCAGTCCATCAATCTTGAATAGAATACGGCATATGAGCGGAGAAGCAGCTTATAAACCGTAGGCAGGAGAGGTGTAGCAGTCGTAGGTGGTGTCACATTTGTCCAATGTGGAAGTAGTTCGTGCCCAAGGTTTATAAGCTGCTTCTCCGCTCATATGCCGTATTCTATTCAAGATTGATGGACTGACCACATCGAATCAAGGCTGAGGGACTGATTACCTCATTCTCCTCCTGTTCTTCAAGTTTATCCTTTGTATGGACTGATGAAGCCACTGTGTGGCGAAACGTTTCCTCAATAAAGATACCCAAGAGTTGCACATGTGTCTAATTTAACAACATGTCGGTTCTCTGAACCATTCATCTACAAATCTAATATACGTATATCATTATACTAAATACGACGACTCGAAAGTCTTTGGACTTGGAATCTTTAGCAATATAAAAATATTGTTCCTCAGTATAGTTTTAACAAAATATTGTAAATAAAATACTTGAGAAATTTGTTTAATTTATTTCTTAATTTTTAAATTTTGGTACAAATTAACATTAGATCAATATCCACATTTGCCTTTCTACGATATCAATAATATTTTTAGAGGGAACTTAATTAAAGTTCAACCAGTTGGTTTCCTGCGTTAAGTGTCAGTAAAACATATACATGGGAGACCATACTATTTTAATAGAAATTTTAATACAATACAAAAGTTGACAAAATTCGAAACTTAAGAACATAAGAAAGAAGGAGCACTGTAGCAGGCCTACTGGCTCATGCAAGGCAGGTCCAAGTCACCCACCGGCCCAAGGCTAGTCAGGGCAGGTCACACCCAGTTAAAGAAGGGGCACGGCATCAGACCCATCAACACAAGCTAGTCAGGTTCAACTCACACCCACTCATGAATTTATCCAACCTATTTTTAAGAGTACACAACGTTTTAGCTTCCATGACGGTACTCGAGAGTTTGTTCCACTCATCCACAACTCTGTTACCAAACCAGTGCTTTCCTATATCCTTTCTGAATCTGAATTTTTCCAGCTTAAAACCACTACTGTGAATTTTGTCTTGGCTAGATATTTTTAGCAGGTTATTTACAATCCCTTTATTTATTCCTGTTTTCCATTTATACACCTCAATCAAGTCCCCCCTAATTCTACGCCTTTCTAGAGAGTGCAGATTCAGGGCCCTCAGTCTATCCTCATAGGGAAGATTTCTGATACATGGGATCAACTTTGTCATCCTCCTCTGCACGTTTTCCAGAGCATTTATATCCATTCTGTAATACGGTGACCAGAACTGTGCAGCATAATCTAATGAGGCCTAACCAAGGATATATAGAGTTGAAGAATAACCTGAGGACTTCTATTATTTATGCTTCTTGATATAAAGCCAAGAATTCTGTTCACTTTATTGCGAACACTAATGCACTGTTGCCATGGTTTTAGATTACTGCTAACCAGAACTCCTAAATCCTCTTCGCAATCAGTAATTTTAAGCTCTACATTATTTTGTTTATATGTGGCATGGTTATTTTTCTGTCCAATATTTAGAACTTTGCACTTATCTATATTAAACTGCATCTGCCACTTCTCCGACTATTGCATCAGTCTATTCAAACCATCCTGGAGTGCTCTAGTGTCCTCATTAGAATGAATTGGACGGCCTATTTTGGTGTCATGAGAAAACTTCCTTATATCGCTATTTATTCCCTCATCTATGTCGTTTATGTAAATTGTGAACAACAAAGGGCCCAACACTGACCCTTGTGGAACATCGCTTGTGACGTGCCCCCATTATGATTTCTCCCCATTTATGCAAACTCTCTGCTGATTATTTGTCAACCATGCCTCTACCCAAGAAAAAATTTCTCCTCCTATTCCATGTACCTTATGTTTCCTTAGTAGCCTCTGATGTGGAACTCTATCAAAAGCCTTACCAAAGTCCATATACACAATATCATATTCATTACCATGATCTACCTCCTCAGATACATTAGTGAAAAAAGTTTGTAAATTTGTAAGGCAGGAACGCCCTTTTGTAAAACCGTGATGAGATTCATTTATCAATCTGTACCTATCAAGATGGCTACGAATTGCCTCGGCAATTATTGATTCCATAAATTTTTCCACTATGGAGGTTAGACTTATTGGTCTATAGTTCGAAGCTAAGGACCTGTCACCTGTTTTGAAAACAGGTATTACATTTGCCATTTTCCACTTATCTGGCACTATGCCAGTTTGTAGTGATATGTTTAAAAGATTAGCCAAAGGTTTGCTAAGCTCCTCTTTACATTCCTATAGAATCCTTGCATATAGCTCATCAGGGCCTGGGGATTTGTTTTAAGTTTTAATTTATCTATTTGTCTAAGGACCATGTCACTTGTGACCTTAATCGTGCATAGTTTATCATCATCCTGTTCTACATAATTTATTACTTCTGGAATATCGCTAGTATCTTCCTGTGTAAAAACAGAGGCAGTAAGTGTTAAAATATGTACACATTTCTTTATCACTGTCCGTGAGCTGACCCGAGTAACTCTCAAGTGGGTCTATCTTGTCCCTGATCTTACTTCTGTATACCTGAAAGAATCCTTTTGTGATAGTCTTCGATTTCCTTGCAACTTTAACTTCATAATCTTTCTTTGCTTTTCTTATTCCTTTTTTTTTATTTCTCCCTTTAACTGAATACATTGATTTTTTTTAACTTCCCCTCTCCTCTTTTGATTTGCCTATATATGTCTCTCTTTTGGCCAATGAGATGTTTTAGTCTATTGTTTATCCATTGAGAATCGTTTTTGTTTGATCTGGTTTCCCTATTCCGAACATTAATTGTCTGAGCGTCTAGAACTATGCTCTGGAAAACGTCATATCGGCAACCATCACCACCTACCTGACCCATAGTCAGGTCATTCCAGTTCAGCCCATCCAGGTAATTTCTCAGTCCTATGAACTCAGCCAAGCAGAAGTCAAGGGCAAAGACTTGATTGCCATTATTAGGGTAATTCCATGATACATTAAAACCGAGTGATTTGTGATCACTTTCCCCAAGCTCATCATTAACCTCAGGATTATTAATTAGTGATTCCCTGCTGGCAAGGACCAAGTCAAGCAGGTTATTTCCGCTAGTTGGTTCAATCACAAACTGTTTAAAAAAACAATCCTGAATCGTATCAAGAAAATCTTTTGGCTCTAAATTTCTTGTCAAATTGCTCCAGTCAATTTATCTAAAGTGAAAATCCCCATTAGCACAACATTTTCGTATGCAGATGCCTTACGAATCTCGTCCTATAGAAATTTACTGCATTCCCTATCAAGGTTTGGTGGCCTGTAACCAAACAGATTCCAGTTTTAAACTTATCCAATAAGATGTATTTACTAGCGTTGTTATTAAGTTACGTTTGAATTTAATGGATGCAACTGGAGATAATTTAGTCATTTAGCTAATAAATGGACACTTGAAGCAAACTGACGAATGAAAATGTCCAGAGAAAACGTTTTCTAGTGAAAGTCACTTGTTTTGTGATTTCATTAATATCCTAGTGTTTGTTCAAGCGTCTTTAAATCATTTTCTATTTCATACAACCATAGGTCAACGTCTCTCAATGTGCATATCTGGCGAGGGTTTACTTTAATTCCTTGGAAGAGAGTATTGAATGATTTTGGGCTCCTTAGATGGCAGTTTGCCAGTTTTATTTAAGAATTTTTGTTCGAGGATTTTTTTTTTTTTTTTTTTTGGCGTTAATTTGTGAATGGCTAATCTAATCGGCTTCGAACCTTAAACGGCAGTAACATGAGAATGCATTTTCTGAGCGGCTTTAAACTTAAAGTGCTGGTGCATTTTGGGATATTAGTGAGTGTAAAAAGAAAAACTAGAAAGTAATCCTTCCGTTTGGCTTTAAACTCTGGCTTTAAACTTTGGCTTTAAAGCTGGTGTTCCCTACTTAGAGAAGCAGTCAGTTTGCCATTTTCAGTTAAGAAAATGGGAATTTGTGAATGCCTATTCTAATTCACTTAAAATCTTCTACACCGATATTCAACCACATTAGAAACTTATGCCGCACTCTGTACATTGACTTATGGGTTACTGGGATAACTTTCTCGGATAGTGCAGCGACTGAAACACGGATAGTTCATTCTGTTTATGCTAGTCTTTCCGTTAACGTAAATCATCCTGTTTACTCGATTCATTCTTTTTGCTAAAGTGAATCATATTATCATTCATTCTTACCATTCCATCCACAACTCGTCGTGAAGAAGACTTAAAGCAAAATTTTGCAATGAATGTTAATCCACTGCTTAATATCTGACATAAAATGATCTCTAAAATTATCTTTAGATTATTCCATATCCCAAATATACTTGTAAAAGCCTCGTAGGAAAATAAATTACTGTTGATGGCAGGACTTACAGACAACAGATGTTGTATAATGTATCACTCCTATAAAGAACCTGTGTACAATATTTATCGTATAATATATCAGCCCTATGGAAGGTCTGTACACACTAGATATAACAAGGCAGCTCATTCTTATGCAGAACCTGCACGCAAGAGATATAGCAGGATATAAGTAGGATATGTACAGGACAGATATGGCATTGGAGATCAATCTCATGCAGGATCTGTGCATGAAGGATATGATAGGACGGATCAGGCCTATGTAGGATGTATGTGCAATAGACATGATAGAACAAATCAGTTCTGTACATGACCTGTACACAATACGTATCGCTTGATAAATTCCTTTAGAAGATATGTACATAATAGAGACAGCAGAACGGATCAGTAATTTGCAAGACCTGTACGTGACAGATACTGTAAAGAGGATTAGTTTTATAACAGACCAGTATATGAGAGATGCTGTAGAACACAACAGTTGTGTACAGGACCTGAACACTGTATACCCTGCAGGGCTGATCAGTCCTGTATAGAACCTGTGTACAACAGAAATGGTACAAGAGACTGTTCCTACAAAAGACGTGTATGTATTAGACATGGCAGAATTGATCAGTTCCATACAGGACATGTATACAAATTTCATAGCAGGCCAGATCAGTCCTATATTGAACTTATACATAACTGAGAGGATTGAATAGATCAAACCTATACAAGATTTGTATACAACAGATATGACAGGACAGATCAGTCCGATGTAACACCTGTAAAAGACAGATGTTACAGAGGACATCTGCCTCACACAGAAACTGTACATAGCGTATATACTATTGCTATTTAAGTCACATAAAAGTGCCAAAAAAATATACATGCCATTATAGGCAACTTTTGTTGTTTGTCACATTGACCATGGCGCATGTTATGGTGATTATCTATGGTATTAGGTTACTGAGAATCCAGCTAGTGTAGGCGGAGACTTTGGTGTATATAGCAGGCACCCCCACCACTCCGCACACTGGTCTGCCGAAGGATACGATGCCAACCTAGTGAGAGAAGACAGAGCATTATTAATTGCGTTTGTGTTTAAATATATATACCACTTTAGGGATATTTTAACAATACTACAACAAATTATCTTCTCTTTCTATAGCATCATCCCTTCATTAAATATTCCTTGGCTTTATTCTCAAATTGTTACATAATAAGACTGGCCTTGACATGATCAAGGAACCCATTCCATTCCTCCTTCGCTGCCCACCTACTGCGGTTACTACAAAAAATGTATTCACTTTCATACTAATTTATACTGGGTTTGGCTCCTAACCTTAACAAAATTTTCTGAAAGATATTCTGGACACTGATTTCTTATTTTTTTAAACATTCTGGCCTACATCTTCTCCAGGAATCAGGTCTAGGATGACTCTCTCACTATCTTATTTTAAGTAATGTGTAGTCTGCTTTTCATAAAGAACAAGATTAATCACCATAACACTATATAAAATTTAGGTATAAGGTACTGCGTGTTTGAGCAGCTAGGTACCGCGTTCGCCTGTTGAAAGAGGAGCTTTAAACTATCATTTGTTTTTGTTTTGTGTTCACTATCAGTTCACCTGACGTGCAAGGATCAAGGGTAATTCGTAAATATTTCAATGATATTATGGGTGGGAATGGTTCCTTGTTATAAACTACGTTAAAAATTATTTTCCTTTTTCACTTGACCTTTTAGGCCAAATTTAATTGTAATTTGTTCAAGGATGAGCCTGTAAAGCCTCAGTCAGATGACTAAAAGCTCCAGTGGTGGGTCATAATATGTTGAAGACCTTCTCTGTTTCCTGACGAATCTTACCTAAGCTTAAGATTGGCTTGGTAAGGTTTGTCAGGAAACAAAAGTGTTTCCTGTGGAGGGTCTTAGTCATATGATGACCCACAGCTGGAGCTTTTGGTCATCGGTCCGAGGCCTTCCACTGGCTTACCGGTCCATCCCTTTAAAAATTATGGCCATAGTTATAATTATTTTTTTAAGCTTTAGAATACCGTCATCTACATAGAATAATGTTAATAAAGAATTTAGGGGCTACCTGGAGGGAATTCCGGGAATCAACGCCCCCGCGGCCCGGTCCACGACCAGGCCTCCCGGTGGATCAGGGCTTGATCAATCGGGCTGTTATAGCTGACCGCACTTAGTCCAATGTACGAAACACAGCCCGGCTGATCCGGTACCGGCTTTAAGTATTTGTCTAGCTCCCTCTTGAAGGCAGTCAGGGGCCTATTGGTAATTCCCCTTATGCGTGGTGGGAGGCTGTTGAACATTCTTGGGCCCCGGACACTTATGGCGTTTTCTTTTAGTGTACCAATGGTGCCCCTACTTTTCCTTGGGGGTATTTTGCACCGCTTACCCAGTCTTTTACTTTCGTAGGGAGTGATTTCTGCGTGCAGATTCGGGACCATTCCTTCTAGGATTTTCCAAGTGTAGATTATGATGTGTATCTCTCTCCTGCGTTCCAGCGAGTACAAGTCAAGTGCTTCTAAGCGTTCCCAGTAGTTGAGGCGTTTGATGAAACATATATGTGCAGTAAAGATTCTCCGCACACTCTCTAGAATGGCAATTTCACCTGCTTTGAACGGAGATGTTAATGTACAGCAGTATTCCAGCCTATAGAGAAGAAGTGATGTGAGAAGGATCATCATTGGCTTGGTATCTCTTGTTTTGAAACTTCTCAATACCCATTCTATCATTTTCTTTGCAGCTGTGATCGTGGCACTTTTGTGATCCTTGGAAGTGAGATTCTCAGACATTACCACTCCCAGGTCCCTCACATTATTTTTTTCGCTCTATTGTATGATCAGAGTCTGTAGTATACTCAGTTCTAATTATTATCTCCTCCAGTTTTCCATAACGGAGTAGATGGAATTTGTCTTCATTGAACATCATATTGTTTTCCGTTGCCCATTGGAAAACTTGGTTTATATCTTCTTGGAGATTAACCGTATCCTCTATAGATGACAGTCTCATGCAGATCCTAGTATCGTCTGCAAAGGCTCACTCGTTGCTGTGGATTACATCTCTATGTCTGATATAAGGAGGAGGAACAGGATGGGGGCGAGTACTGTGCCTTGTGGAACAAAGCTTTTCACTATGACAGCTTCCGATTTATTTATTATGTAAAAATCTCCGATTTTAATGGGGGCTCTGCAATGTAGACTGTTAAACACTGGGCAATAGGGAGAATGTTTTTTTAAATAACAAAATTAACCAAACCTAACCTAACCAAAAATTTATTTCTAGGCTAGGTTGGGTTATCTTCTTTTTGGTCTACCAGTGGAAGGGTCTTCCCACATATGCACAAAATTTAACTGTCTCCACTGTCCAGACCCGGTGGCCTGGTGGCTAAAGCTCCCGCTTCACACACGGAGGGCCCGGGTTCGATTCCCGGCGGGTGGAAACATTTCGACACATTTCCTTACATCTGTTGTCCTGTTCCCCTAGCAGCAAGTAGGTACCTGGGTGTAAGTCGACTGGTGTGGGTCGCATCCTGGGGGACAAGATTAAGGACCCCAATGGAAATAAGTTAGACAGTCCTCGATGACGCACTGACTTTCTTGGGTTATCCTGGGTGGCTAACCCTCCGAGGTTAAAAATCCGAACGAAATCTTATCACAATCCGCTTCCATTTTGAGAATTTACATAATAGGTCATGTTGAGCTATCACCTGATAAGGGGGGGGGGTAGTGCCCTCTGTAGCATGTTTGAAAATCATTTGAATCTGTGTTGACCTTATTGCACCTTGCAATTTACTGACTAACGATGCTGCAACAGTTGTGTATTGTGAACTGAAACAATTTGCCTCTGGAAATGATTCATGGCTTCCCTCGTTATCAGTACGTAACTACTTACCAATATGACAACGTCATAACTAGGCTGGAAGGAAAAAAAAAAAGACTGTAGAATAATGCGATCTTTTATTGAGTAGGTTTAACCCACATAGTGGTTTTTATCAAGTCACATTATACTGTATTTATGTCTCTTTTTCCATCGTGTCTGCTTTTATATTTTCTGTCCTTCACAGCCAGAATATTAAACCAAATACGCAATTTAAGAGTCTGAGTTGTCAGAAATATCTATAACAAAATATACGTATATACGTACATTTTTTCATAGATATTTACGTACGTTTACACTTAGAACGGTTAGATTTTGAGATTAGCAGCTACTGAGAGATAATTCAGGATAGCTAAAAAAAAAAAAAGTCTGCAGAGTCTTTTACAGATCCTTCCCCAGACAACGAGCCTCAACAGTCAACTAACTCCCAAGTATCTATTTACCGTTAGGTAAAAAGGGCAACAGATGTTCCAGGAAACTTTCCTGTACATCTCTTCTCGCCAGGATTCGACGTGGATCCCTTTGTAAGCCAAGCGTGCAACCACTGCGCCACGAGGTCATAAACTAGGTCACTGAAGACAGGCAACTACATCACTGAGGATAGGTAAGGCCACTGAGAAGAGGTTGCGACGCACCCAAGTGGCAGTTAACAAAGACATCGTTGGCATGGTTACCAGGTGACTATCTTACATAATCACAATCCCACTTACCAAGGTATATGTAGTTTCCCCGCCAGGAGAAGAGAAGAGCGGGCCTCCGGAATCACCGTAACATGAGTCCTTGCTGCTGGCTCCTCCGTAACACACCTGAAGGTGGGAGACAACTCATAGAGATTTGGTCATAATACCGTGGCTTGAAGAACTTAAAAAAATGGAGATGGAACTAAAAAATTTTTCGGTCCATCTAGAGTTATTATCAAATCGACTTACTAATCGACCGAATATTTATCCAGGTATAATTTCCTGCTTTTTTTTTATACCGCTGGTTTCACAAGCTAGTATACTTTCGTACTTATATAAATGACAGAATATACCGAAAAGTATGTTAAGACAATATGCAGTGGGCAAAACTTCTGCTCAATAAGATGTCATAAACTGCATATTGTGTTCATTTCTGCTAAGGATGATTGGCTAGCAAATAGTGCAGACATGTATAGTACATATTCCTCTCTAAGTTTCATGACTTGATCAAGCTTAACACTTAGAGAAACGTCGTCAGATATATTGTCTCTATCTTCTCTTTGAAGTCCTCCGACTACTGAAAGGTCATTAGCACCGGATACCGTTATATATTAGAGACAAACAAGACGGCTTGAGCCCTACAACAGGAAATACATTAACTTATCAGTGTATATATATATATATATATATATATATATATATATATATATATATATATATATATATATATATATATATATATATATATATATATATACTCGGTGTATATACCCTGAGAGACAATACCTCTCGGTGTATGTACACCGAGAAACATGCATCTTTCAGTGTATATTTTCTCAGAGACATACTCCTCTCTGCTAATTTACACCGAGACAAACACCTCTCGGTGTAAGCACATTGAGAGACATATGCTTCTCCAGTTCCTTCTTTCTTCTTTTCTTTGTGTCTTCCCTGCACCCCTCCCCCTCTCCTACATATACTGGCGTTAGTGTGACTTACAAATGGTCCACTTAGTGTCGTCATAAGCTTCTCTCTCCTATGTACGGGTTATTTGTGTATATACATATACCTCTCGATGAAAATATATATACATCTCTTAGTCTATATATGACACAGTTCACTCCAAGTCGTGTGTGAGGTGAGACTCGGCAGGAACTGTCGCCTCTTGACGTATCTGATGTTTATTTTTAGACTTCCTGAATGAAGCTTATAACTGCTAGCTCCTCCAGGGATGCTACCCACAACTGACAGCTAGCACCCAGCTACTTATTACTGCTAAGTGAACAAGGAGGGGAGCAGGTAAATGTAAGAAATCTTGTCCAAATTTATCTGAACTCGAGCCAGAATCGAACTCTTATTCTTCAGTTGTGAACCAAATGCCTCCATTAACCGCCGTGAATCTTTTGCAAAGGACGAAAAAGAAGTTTTATGGATGCATAATAGGTTTGTTTTATAAATTATTAGACTTCATGATGCAGCGTAAGTGAAGTTTTATCAGAAATCATGAAAATACCTCTATAGGAAAACATGGGGATGCAAGTGTTAGAGC